TCCCTCCTCTCACGCGAAGCTTTGACGTTTCATTAAATAATTAGAGAAAAGAGACGATTCGTTGTACCTTTCCCGACTCTTAATCCTTATCTGTATTCAGTCCCCCTCCCGCGCGAAGCGCGGAAGCTTTGAAAGAAGACGATTCGTTCTACCTTCTCGACTCATAATCCTCGTCTGAATTCAGTCCCTCCCCCCTCTCACGCGAAGCTTTGACGTTTCATTAAATAATTAGAGAAAGAAGACGATTCGTTGTACCTTACCCGACTCTTAATCCCTGTCTGGATTCTGTCCCCCCCCCCCTCTCGGCCGAAGCTTTGACGTTTCATTAAATTATTAGAGAAAGAAAGCGATTCGTTGTACCTTTCCCGACTCTTAATCCTTAATTTGAACTCAGTCCCCCCCCCCCCTTCCCGCGCGAAGCGCGGTAGCTTTGACGATTCGTTGTTCCGTTCTCGACTCTTTTTCCCTCTTTCTTCCTACGTCCTCTTTCTTTTTTTTCTTCTCTTTCTCTCTCTTTTTTTTTTGGCCGGCGTTTTGGGGGGGGGGCGACCGCCCCCACCGCCCCCCCCCCCCTGGCTACGCGCCTGCCCCCGGGAACGGACTTAACGTTTCAGGGGGCTATAGAACAGCTGGTAGAGGAGGTGGTGCACTGAAAAAGTTGGGCAATATTTTCCAACACATTGCCAAACGTTGTGCAAAAGTCAACCCAACCATCTATTGGGCAAATCGTTTCGTATTTTGCTCAACAGCTGGTCAAGATTTTCTCAACAAGTGGGCTACCGTAGTCAGGCAGTTGAAGGGTCATATCTTTGCCTAATTGTTGGTCAAAATACGAAAAATTATGCACGTGTGAAGTAGGGTACTTACGTTTACCAATACCATTGGGCAAAAAATTGCCCAATAGATGGTTGGGTTGACTATTGGCACAACGTTGGGCAAATTGTTGGGAAAATATTGCCCAATCTTTTCACAGTGTGAGGAACCGCAGGCTGCCCTATCCGGGGGTCCTCACCCAGATGGCTCCAGGTAAGATGCCCTGGCCGGAGGTGACATTTTGTACCAGATGGCTCTGGAACAAGAGGACAACGATTACCGACAAAACTAGCAACCAATTACCGACAAAATTAAATGTCCCAATATCTACAAATTTTACCCTTTAAACCCGGGGCCGAAAGCTAAATTGTTTTTCCTATGGACTATCTATAGTAATTGCGTATGCGCAAATGATCATTTTCCTCGACGACATAAATATACGAATTATTTCGTCAACTTAGTCAACATCAAAGCCAGGGGCGTAGACAACGGGGGGGGGGGATGAGGGGGATGCATCCCCCACCTCACAGGGTGGGGGGGGGGGGATGGCATGTACAATCATCCCCCCAGGTTTTGGGGAATGATATTTGCTTACTTAATAAGTCATAATGATGATAATAATAGTAATAATAATAATGATAACAATTATAATATTAATAATAATAATAATTATGATGATGATAATAATAATCCTCATCATTATTGTGTTTATTGTTATTAGCCGCATTCACACTGTGAAAGCCAATTCAGACGGTAAAAAAAGGAAATTTTGTGGTTATCTTGTGGTTTGGAAACCACAAGATAACCACAAGATTAAACAGGCGCGGATCTACGGGGGGGGGGGGTTAGGGGGTTTAAACCCCCCCCCCCCCCTGGGCGGCCCCAAAAACAACAAAACAAAACAAAAGAAAAAAAAAGAAAAAAAAAAAAGAAAAAAGAACGCACGCTGGAGAGAAACCCTTTCAAGTGCAAATATTGTGAGAAGATATTCGACTCATCTGGTAACTTAACCAAACACATGATAACTCTGGATATAACTGTGTATTTAACTGCTACTTGATTTAAAAATACGTTATCATGCACTGCTTTTTATGGTCTCCATTGTGTTAATAGATGCCAGGAAAACATCACTTACGGGGTTCAAATAAACACCCCCCCAAAAATCGGCTCGCCGCTTTGCGGCTCGTGGACGATGCTCTGCATCGTCATTATTTTGGTCAACCCCCCCCCCCCTTAGCAAAAAGCTAGATCCGCCCCTGAGTCTTCCCCCCCCCCCCAGGTGTACGAACCTGTCTACGCCACTGATCAAAGCTATATATTTTAATGCAGGTGCGAAGCTAGGATCTTATTTTAGGGAGGGGCGGCGCGAAGCGCGCTCATTAGGGGGGTGTCGGTGTTAGGCCTCCCGCACGAAGCGTGGAAGCTTAGACGTTTCCTTAAATTATTAGGAAAAGAAGACGATTTATTGTACCGACCTCGACTGTAAATCCTTGTCCGAATGAAGTCCCCCCCCCCCTCCCGCGCGAAAGCTTTGACGTTGAATTAAATTATTATAAAATGTAGACGATTTGCTGTACCGTTCTCGACTGTTAATCCTTGTCTGAATTCAGTTTCTCCCCCTCCCGCACAGCGCGGAAGCTTTGACGTTTCATTAAATTATGAGAAAAGCAAGCAATTCGGTGTACTGTTCGCGACTCTTATCATCCTTATTTGAATTCAGTTCTCCCCCTCCCGCGCAAAGCGCGGAAGCTTTGGCGTTTAATTAAAGTATTAGAAAGTAGACGATTCGTTGAACCGTGCTCGACTCTTAATCCTTGTCTGAATTCAGTTTCTCCCCCTCCCGCGCGAAGCGCGGAAGCTTTGACGTATCATTAAATTATGAGAAAAAGCAGACGATTCGGTGTCGGCCTACTGTTCTCGACGCTTAATCCGTATCTGAATTCAGTTTCTCCCCCTCCCGCGTGAAGCGCGGAGGCTTTGACGTATCATTAAATTATGAAAAAAAAGCAGACGATTCGGTGTCGGCCTACTGTTCTCGACTCTTAATCCTTATCTGAATTCATCTTAATCCTTATCTGAATTCAGTTCTCCCAAGTTATGGCGATGATTATGTATGTATTGAGCAATTTACTTGAATTGAAAAAACTTAAACCAATAATACCTCCTCCCCCACAAAAAAAATCATCATAATTCACATAAAAATGTAATATCAACAGAAAATATACCATTTACAAGTGAATAATTCAGTCACATTTAACCCTATTTTAATTTGACCCCCCCCCCTAAGATCTCGGCCGTTTCACAGACGATCGCGGCGAAAATGTGCATGCATGTTAAGTGAAGTGTATAGAATACTATGGTAATATCAATTTTTTGAAAAATTCGTTCATTTGCATATTTATGGTAATCTATGCAAATAAGGTCATACAATTCACATTTTCACCCATGAATCATATATTATTCATATTTAAGCATTCTTTTTCACTACATATATATTCGTTTGACCATTTGGAATAATAATATGACAAAAAAGTTGTAAGAGCCAGGTTATTCCTTATATTATCTCTTGTTTGATAATTCCTTATGTATTTCATTGTTTTTTTAACATTGGAAACAAATAAAGTTCAATTCAATGTATTTCATTGTTTTTTTAACTTATGTATTTTATTGTTTTTGTTGTTTTATTTCATTTCTAACTACAACTCAACTATTTTAACCCCCCCCCCCCCAAAAAAAAAGTCATGAAAGGAAAACCTTAAGGTATATCTGTCGCGGTTCCGGAGCAGTCGCTAAATTACTACAAGGGGGTGGATCGGTTAACATAGGGTTAAATTTACCATAATACATGCATAAAACACAAAGGAATGATTACCGTGGTACAATAAAGGAATAAAGACATATTACTGCACTCGTATACATTTTACTTCAGAAAAGAACTTTTTAATCAATAATGATTCATACATGTACATATAAGAACATGTTGCATATACACGAGAAAGCCAACCGCTCACTTTACCCTGTTAACATTATTTCTAGGCACATATTTTGGTTTTTCAAAGGAATAAACACACATATAAAATATAGAAATATAAAATTTACACCATTCGTACATATCATTTCAATGGCAATCGGTTCACAGTTCTAATGCTTGATTATACTGGTCAGTACGACCAAAATCATTTTAAAATCATTAAAATGCATTATTTCTCAGGAACATTAAGACTAAAAATTGTTTACATGATAGAATGATGATAAAACTATATGTACCGTTCATATATAAAATTGAAGAATGTATTGTTATCAGAGGTTTTGAGCAAAAGTGCATGAAAAATATTGCTAGTTCTTGGTTGAAATTATCAATATGTATTAAGTACTTGTACAAAGATAAGAGTGAAAAATGCTATTCTACTCTATAACTAAAGAACTTCAATTCATAACTTTACAATTATTCATCTTACACATTGCATTTTATTCATTAAAACTTGACATCTGACCCAAATTAACAACATATTCACCAATATCATGATGAAGATACACTACAAAAAAACAAAAACAGTCCTCTCACCATGAAATTATATATGACACCAAATATGGGGGTAAAGTTAACTTGTAAGACAGACACTTAAAGCCCCTCTGCACTAGTTTGGCCAGGTGGTATTAAACCTCCCTGCATGGTCACTGACAGGTGGTTATCTCATCAAATCAGCTCTCAATTACCATAAGAAAAAAGGGGACCATTGGCGACTAATGGTCACCAATTAGGCATTGTTTGCTATATAGAGGGCGCAAGTAGCTATAAGTAGTGCAGTGGGGCTTTAAAAGCATAGAAGATATTCCATATCTCTTAGACTTCTTATCAACATGAAAGGCACAACATGAATATAGTATACTGTAATACATGGATGTAGACTACCTTAGAGTATATATATACTATAGAGTATAGAGAAACAGAAACATATAAAAAGAGCACACATCACTTAAAGATAACTATTTGTTGAATGCGATTGTACAATAGTTTATCCCAGCACACTTTACAGAAAAGGATACTTGTGCAGATACAAACAATAGCATATTGTAGATAAATGTATATACATGTTGTATTTTAAATAAATTTTCACTGCATGTATTGAGCAATAATCAATTACAAATACACTGTAGACATATAATCTACATAAAGATGTGAGAAAGGATACAATTCTTTTTTTTAAATAAATCTATATGAACTACACTGTAAGTATTCTCTCATTTTCTTGATATGAATGCATTAGCATTAAGCAATACATTTTATACATGTAGGTTGCTTTACAGGTAATAATTAGAAGATGAATTTAGCATGGATTACCATGTGTCAGCTCTAAATCGGGGAGTGTAGTTTGTTCAGGGCTAGCTTATAGTCTAAAGTATAAACAGTGCAGTGAATTCTGATCCATTGTGTAAACAGCTGGGTTAGAATAGGGAGGGTATTCTTAAAAAATAGGAGACACTGCTTATACAATGGTATACTGCCAACAGTACAAAGTATTTTACCTTTACATCTCAAATAAAATTTAGCACGGTTCAAAAGAAATTGCCTACTTGGTTTATGCATGACTTATGTATTTTTCCAGTGTTTCAAAAGAATTTTAACAAGTAGTTGTGTTTTACCATCACTTGACGACATATAGATGAAGTAAATTCTGGAAACAATACTTATTAATTCTTCACTTTTCAATTGCCTTAGCTTGTTTAATGGTAAACTGGGACATTTCCAAAAGTATCAACAGAAAGGCTCATCTAATTTCCATCAATCACTTGGCAGCACAAACAAACAACAACAACAACAAAGCCCATGCACACACACACACAAAGACAAAATCTCATGAAAACCATTTACTCTTCGATTCTTAATTTTTCAGGTGCTCTAGATGATGAATAAAAGACTACCATAGAAGCTGGAATTAATGATTATGCATCAAAAAGCAGTGCTATATTTAGTTTAGGGTAAATTTTCATATGGTTAATTATCTGCAGAGCATGCAACGTCCAACCAATTATGCGTCCTGGGACCTGTTTCACAAAGCTCTTTTTCAATGACAAGTGACAAAAATCAGTGACAAACCTGCTGATAACCAATCAGAAGCAAGGATTTCAGTAGCTTATAACAAAAACTGTCATTTGTCACTGATGACAAGCTTTGTGCAACACCCCTGGTGTCTACTCTCGCTTGTTGATCATGATCTCGTAGGGTACCAGAAGCCTCCCTGCAGCAGACATGGGGATCATGTTGGTCAGACTCTCACTTTCCTTGCCAGGAACCTGCAGAGGCAGCATGGAATCGGAACAGAAGATGGAGAATAAGCAATGAACGACACAGAATGACAGCTATATAGTCAGTTAATATGGGGGTGTTTCACAAATATCTTAAGTTGAACTTATCTCTAAGTTGGACTTAACAATTATGGAAAGCCATTAGCATCTTTGAAAATATTATGTAAAAATTATTTTAAAAGGTATAAAATGTTGATTCAAATCTTTCATATTTTGTATCATGAAGGAGGTTTCATGTTCTAAATGTGGAATTTATGAAAAGTCTAAAAGATTTGAATTAATGCTTTTTAATATATTTCATTATAAGGCTACAAATGACTCTCCATAATATTTAAGTCCAACTCAGAGTTAAGTACGACTTAGAATCTTTATGAAACACCCCCAGGTTATCTTTGGTTGAGGATGGTTGATGACATTGTGGTAGATAAGCCTTGAGCTCAAAAAGTTATCAAATATATATACTACATGTATTACCTACTACAAGGAGATATTGGAAAACAGAATTTGGAGCAAAAAGAATGAATGTATTATAGTTTGAGGTTCCTTATTCTGTCCAGCTAACAAACTTACTCTTGTATGATATTTTCTGGCTGCTAAAAAGCAGAATGGTTGGACTGATTTTGATGTACATGTATGAAGAAATGCATGCAGTAGGTCTTTGTTGTACACATTGATAATAGGGACTTTTTAGATTGAGTGGACGAGAATGTCCACTGATCATGCCAGTCCATGGCAAGCAGTTTTAACATTTATTCCTATTTATTGATATAAAGAATTGGATTCTTGATATCAAGAAATGATTTTCTGTGTAAAGCAATGGTAATTCTTGATATCAAGAAATAGGAATACATGTTAAAACGGCTTGCCATAGACACGCATGATCAGTGGACGTTCATGCCATTCTAGTCCACTCAAAAACATACATGTACATTACCTAAACTCTTGTACATTACCTAACCCCTTGTACGTTACATAACCTCTTGTAATAACATCTCGTACATTACCTAAACCTTTTTAAAAGTTAATGGAATGAGTGATCAAAAGGCAAATTCTCAAATGTTTCACACAAAGTAATGATCTTTTTGCATTAGAAAAGAAATGTGCCATTTTTCTGTTGTCTATGTCTTTTTGGGAAAATACACAATGCATGCTGACCAAAATTGCGAAAATTGCAAATCTAATTTTCAAAAGCAAACGTAAAAGTGGTCAAGAGTCTGAGGTCATAAGGTCACCTTGCTGAAGGTGTAGTTCTGCATGAACCAGGTGAAGATAAGGAAGAGATCAGCCTTGGCCACGGCTTCACCCAGACAGACTCTACGGCCAGCTCCAAATGGAAGGAAGCTGGGAGGATGATCACGCACTTTGCCATTTTCAGCAAGGAAATGCTCTGGAGAAAAAGGATAAAAAAGAATGAATGATTTCGAGAATTGCATTTCTACCTTTTTAAATCACAAACTTACTGCTTAAAGGTAAAGACCAGTATTGGAAACGCCCCAATTTAAAAAAATGAAATGGAAGCTCTTATTACCAATCATGTGAAAGAATATGTTTTGACTAATACATGATGATAACAATTTTGCAGGGAAACCGCCTACTAATTGATATATTTGGTAAATTAGTTTATCTATTGGTGTGTGAGAGATAAATGCATGTGTCACGCAGGTGTGCCTACAGTCCCATATACATCTTTCTGTGTACAGTTCTTGTAACTCTACGAAGACTGGGCCAAATTTCTCATCGTTTTGATGATTCCAGAACCTTGCAGTACACACCAATACTTATATGCTAGATGATCAACCTTTTCTGATCGATTCCACAACGTTTCTTTCACAATGCAATCGCATGACCACAACTGGTCTTTATCTTTAAGGTGCTCTGTAATGACTTTAAAGTCTTGGGGGAAGAAACCCGATTAAGAGGGAAGGGGAGGGGGCTGAGTAGCAGCTGGTAAAGTTCAACGGTCACGGTATGGAAGGGAACTGATACACATGTACATGCATTGCAGTGGTCCATTCTGAAATGTCAAAGTGAACAGTGTGGTGGTAGGGAAGGGAGAGAAGGGGAGTGTTTTAGGACCTACCTGGGCAGAAGTTCTCTGGATCTTTCCACTCTCGAGGATCAAAGTGCATGGAGTAAACATTCATCATGACCGTAGTACCTTTAGGGATGGCATGACCCCCTGGGATCAAGAGAAACATTTACAAAAAATCATTGATCAAGTGATTGATTGTTAGGTTGGATGAATGACTGTTTGAATGATTTTATTTGATCTATTCATTTGCTTATTCTTTATATTTAAACAGGGTATTTCAGTTTTAAGACTGTCTTTGTGGAAGGCCTTGTAGAATTTAAAGATTACAAATATAGAGGAAATTGAACAAAGTTTAAATGCATACATAATATATCAAGGATATTTATTTTTGTTTTTCGTTTTACACCATGACATAAACATGAGAAAATTAGATATTTGTACAGCTTATTCAATATATTAAACACCAGTCCTCTCAAATCGATTCACAAAAGAAGAAGAGGGTTATACAGTAGGCTTTCTTAGCTTATAGTTTTAAGGAGAACTATAGCGCTTGGAGAGGATGAGTGGCGGAAGTGGCTCGACGTTTCGAACAGGTTGACTATCCGTCGTCAGGAGTGGAGAATAGCTGGCGTGCGTGAGCTTAAGTCACCGGGGTACGGACGTCGGGGAAATATACATGACCGTGTGGGCTTGAGTCATCCGGGAGTGGACATGGATAGTCTGCTCGTCCGTCTGCCTATCAGTCTGGGCTGGAGTCTCCGGGTTTGGACTTGGGGGAGTTTCGAATCCATGAGTGGGGTGTGCTGTCGGCGAGACGCTGTGTGTGTCATGGATTCGAAACTCCCCCAAGTACGCAACCCGGAGACTCCAGCCCAGACGGACAGGCAGGCGGACAAGCAGACCATCCATGTCCACTCCCCGATGACTCAAACCCACACGGTCATGTATATTTCCCTCTTACAAAATAAGGGATGGTTACTAGCTGTTCAAAATTATAATTGACTAGTTTTGGCCCTGTGACCTTTGACTTTGTGACCCCAAAATCTAATCAGTTCATTGGCTCTGCAAGATACATACATGACTTAAGTTTGGTGGTAATCCATCAATCGCGTTCTTGAGATAACGCGATCACGAGAATGGGACGTACAGATGGACAACCCAAAAACATAATGCCTCCGGCTACTTTGTAGCGAAGGCATACAAATAAAATACAGTACTCACTCAAGGTAGTATCACACGTAGTGGCATGAGGAAGAAGGATAGGTGCTATGGAAGAATAACGCAACACCTCATATAGCGTGGCTTCGGCGTATGGCAGGCTCCCGCGATCTTCGATGACGGGGATGCGGTCGCCTCCGATCACATCGTCAATTTCCTTCCTGACCCGGTCTGCGATCTCAGGGTGTTCGGTCATTAATGCCAATGCCCAGTAGAGAGTATCTGTTGAGGTTTGGATACCAGCTAAAGAGAAAAGACAAAATCAGAAACCAGCTCTTTAAGATAAGATACTACTACTGCTGCTACTACTTTTACTTCTAGTAATAATAGCAATATGATTTTAAATATACACGGTAGGCTCACCAGAATTTAAACTATTCTTCCTGATGGCCCTGTAATTCTTGTCAATGTTTTAAAAAAGAAGAGTAGAGAATCTGTGATCCATGAGAGAGTAAGGAAAGGACCAAGTGGTAGAAGAATTAAAGAGTACATCAACTTAAACAACAAACAACATCCTTTACAAAACTCAGCGATTTAATGACGTATAATTCAATGGGATATCCACTCACTTGGGTGGTTAAAAAAAAAGGAGAAAAAGAATCACCAAAGGTTCTGAAGTGAGAGGAAAGCAAGCATCAAAAGAAAACAAGGGGGAGGCGATAGCAGAGTCACGTAATACATAAAGATTATCATGCATGGCAATCACTGAGCACACATTGATCACATTTACCACTGAAAATATCCATAATAGTCCAGAGGAGATGTTCATCACTTAGTTTCTCCATGTTGCTATCCTCTGCCATAGCTTTCTCTTGTGCATCTAGTAACAGATGATAGATATCGGTCACTTCACCTGCAATATCAAATAAATTGAAATTTAGTCTTTATTTTCCAATGGAGCAGGGGCCCGTTTCACAAAGCCTTTTTTCAATGACAAATTACAAAAATCAGTGACAAATCTGCTGATAACCAATCAGAAGCAAGGATTTCAGTAGCTTATAACAAAAACTGTCATTTGTCACTAATGACAAGTTGTGTGAAACGTCCCCCAGGATTTCTCGTAGCAAGGGGAGCAATTCAGAAATTTGTTTTTCACTGGTAAAAATTTACAGAGATCAATTTACAAAAAAGAAATAATCATAATCATAGACATTTACAGTAATGATAAACTAAATTCATTACAGCTTAAGTTGGATAATTAGGTACTTGAAATACGTTTTTGTACGATGAAGATGGCGACAGAGCAAGAGAGTTGAAGAGGACCAACGTGGGTAGGCAGAGGTGGGTAGAGCAGTGAAGTAAAGATAGAAAGACAGAAAGTGAACATCCGATCGTAAATAATAAACAAAGACAAAAAATACAATTTCCTATAGAAAAAAATCATTGCAAGAAAAAGAAGGTGTCTTAACACCGAAATTGTTGAGATGCTTTATAGGACAGAATGGGCATGCATTGAAAATGGCACACACACACACACACACAAAATACCAACAACAAACAAAATTAGTTTTTTGAAAATCGTATTTTATTGAGGAAAATCGTACTGTCGTATTTGCTTCTAAAAATGGTACTAAATATGACTAAATTGTACTGGTTGGCAGGTCTGTGCAGTGGTGATTGGGGCTTCGCGCACTCTGATGCTCCGCCAGACACGGTTTGTCGCTGTGTGTTTCCACAGAGGTTTTACAGGGAGTTCGTTGGGGTCGACACGTCAAGATCCACCTCCCAGAGTTGGATCTGATAATCCGCATCTCGGTCGACTCGACCCGACACGCTTGTGTTTCCACAGGAAAACTGACACGGTATGACATGGTATGACACGGATAATACTGTGTCGATGTTTTCTGTGGAAACACGCTGATAGTCTACTGTTTTAGGGAAAGCCAAAGAGAAAGTGTTCATTCAGTCACAGAATTATGGTGATTTAGGGAGACTGTTCCACAACCTACAACCTAGAACAAATTGAAAGCAGCAAATGATCTATCACCTAGCAAAGAATGTGTCTGAGGTCTGGAATAATGTCTGTTTAAAGCCAGAAGGGCATTAACTCTTACACATTAACACATCGTTAAGGCCCATCTGGCTCTCAACAGACAATATCAACCTACTGATCTTAAATTCTCCCTATCGCATATAGCTGAAAACAAGCCAACGTAAGCGACGCTCTACTTTTTATAGCGAATTAGCCAGGATTTTTTAGTCACATGAACTTCCAGTCAAAACAGGCCACAAAGTATTAGACTCACACTTCGCTGTCAACAGGACTAAACATGGGAAAATATTTCTGCCTAAATCTCTTATGATGTAAATTTAATAAAGATGTAGACCTTCGGTATCTTCAAATATGTGACCCTGCTGTATATAACCGGAAATTCTTTAAAATGTCTGACAAAATCACTAAGGTAGCTGAGGGGCAATGCATTATGGGAATGTATATTGCTCTCTGTGGTAGGGAGAATTGAGATGAGGTTTACCTTGTGTATGTGTCTCTTTATGATCTCCTATCTGCTCGATGACTAACTCCTTAATTTTGTTCATAAATCCACGGATGATATCACGCTTTTTGTAAGGGACATATTGCAGAATGGAGAATACATCCTCAGGGAACCCCATGCCTATCTCTGCGTTCATCTCGTCATTCAGCTTTATAAACTCCAGGACTTTAGGGTCATGCATCTCAAACCTATTGGACAATGAAGAGAAAAGAAAAAACAATGTGAGAGAGAGACTGGACAATGGGCAGAGGGGAAAAAAAAAATAATAGCGTGTCTGTGTGGAACCCCCCCCCCCCCTCAACACAAACACACACATACACACACCTTCTCCGGTGCTGAATAATGACAATAAAGCTGCAGTACCACATCACTAAATTAGCACATTAATACATCACTATGCACTGAGGAAAAAATATATAAAAGAAAGACAAGTGTTGTAATCTCTGACAGTCGTAATCTAATGTCTGACAGTACTATCAAATTGAATATTTTGCTTAAAATTACTGCAACAAACCTACAGTGTTTTTAAAACTGGTTTGTGCCCTCCCCTAAAGTACTGATACTCTCAATTCATTTTCCTTATTTTTAGACAATATCTATTGATAGCAAACCTTTTTCCGAAGCACATCTCAGAAAGGACGTTGTTCAAGAGCAGCGAGATTATGTTCTTAGGGTCCACTGGCTTGCCTGCTGTCTTGGCAACCTCAACTTCAAGCTTGGGAAAGGTGGTTGAGAGTAGCTTCTGAAGAGCTTCCCCTGTAGCAAAGTGCCTGAAACAACAAGGTAGAAATGTTGTGGTCTAGTGGATAAGTCACTGGACCATGAGTCACAAGGTACAGGGTTCAAGTCCCTGCAACTTAACTCACCCATGTTGACAAGATATCAATCTACAGAGGTACGTCCAAGGTTATAAAAAAAATTAAAAAGTCATCACAGTTGTGTCCTTTGGTATTATATGCTACCATAGACATATTTTTGGAGAAATTTGCACAAATAACATACATGTACCTCATTCAACTATTAAATAAGCAAGGCAACCCATAAATACAATTGTAGAAGAATCACAAAAAAGGAGGAAACAATATTTTGGATAAGAGCTTACAGACAAATAAAAGATATGATTGTACTTAATTTTTTTACAAAAAGAGAAGGATTACACAAAATAAAGAATTCTACCCCCCCCCCCCCCATATCTCATTCATTATTACATTGTTCGACTCAAAGAAAAATAATGCATCTTCTTTCAATTGAAAATACATGTATCATGCCATTCATCAAGTATAATCTTCATAAAAGAAATTATTAATGGTAAATAATTACTTGTGGATTATCAAAACTTTATATGCCTTTGAAAAATATTTGAAATGTACAGAATGCTTGTGACATACTGACCTCAAGGATGTGTGACCTAGTTTACGGTGGAGTTTCCAGGTTTCGCCGTACATTCCAAAAGCAATGTCTTTGTACCCGTCAGTCATCCACTCAGCTGGATTTATTTAAAGAGAAGAACATTCCTTTATGAAAACATTACAACCTCCTTGTACAGGTGCAATACTCTTGGCAAATTCGACCCTTATGACATACATATGTTAGCAAAAAAGAAGAACTTGTATGTTTGCTATGTACATTCAAAGTAACCCGCTTCAAATTTGACTTCTGAAAAGATTGCATGTTGAAATACAATCTCAATATAAAATGTGAAAATGACTTGTGAACAGACTAGCAAATGCATCCGTACATGCATGCAAGCACTCGCACAGAAAAGGGCGTGTGTAACAGAATCCAAGTCCGACTTGTGTTCTGTATATGGGAGTTTTAAGTTCTCCTTTATTTTCTTCATACTCCTTTAATTTTGACCCACAGAATGCTGGCTGAAATGTGGATGATTTCTTTTTCTACATATTGCCTGTACATGTTTATTTTATTTTTTTCTACAATTTTTTCCAATAGAATTTTTCAAAATATTTCTCATGCAATTATTAATTTTGTAATTTGTAATTTTTACTATGTAAAATTCCACCATATATTTTTGTATTTTATTTCCATATACTCCCAGTGCCATTTTGACTGCATACAGTTTTCTTCATTTAATATGTAAGTTGAGTGTGTAACTGTAAAGTGATTTAATAGAAACAATATGTAACTTAAGTGCTATATAAATGTGAAATCAATATCATTATGATTTGACTGTTCCCCTCCATTAATATGGTAGACAACTGCAGAGCTACATGTACACACCTGAGGGGGATCTTGGACGACCTGCAAATTGGACACTTTGCTTGAGAAGAGCTTCTTTGATGATCTCTTGATGATTTAAGACGACCATCCAGTGTTCACCAAGCTTAAAACCAAAAATATCACCGTACTGTTTGATCCAGCCAGTAAAAATCTTCTCCAGGTTGTCGTTCAATGCTGAAATATTCAAATTTATTAATTTCAAATGAATTCATTTTTAAAAATTATACATTCAAACTGACTCAAAGTGTCATCCATAGGAACCATACGTGTAAAGTGATCAATAATCATTTATATAAAATGCCCCTACAAAGAGGTCACCTTTAAACCAAAATTATTCTACATCTAAAGTTAAATGTTTGTGGTAGATAGAAGCATCTTTTTAAAAATGTACTCTTTAAAAGTGAGATTTCATTGTATTTCTTTTTTTTTCTTGCAAGTGCTCTTTTTAATTGTCCAGCTAGGGTACTCTGACTTAGTTTTGAACCCAGGACCTCCTGGTAACGCCACCATTTCTCTACCACTAAGCCTTATATTATACATAATTTACTTGAAGGGTTGAATACACTTACAGAAGAGGCTCCCAACAATAGGAAGTCCTCTCGGTCCAGGAGGGAAGTTCCTAGGTCTGACCATTGTCCAAAGGGCCAGGGAGATAGCCACTACACCTAGTGTGACTGTGATGGTCAAACCGTTGACCTGTACCAGGCTCGAATCTCCTAGCAGGTCAATCATGATGATGAAATCAGTCTCTCAAAGGTCCCTACCAAAACAAGAAAAACAGATATTGGATGAAAATAGTCCTACTTGGGCAGATCGATATTCAAAGGATGCTGCGACCTATATGCTCGGACATCAATTGCTCCGGGCATTTATTTTGCCAAAGATATAAGGTTAGAGTTATGGTTGCAATTGTGTTTGGGGTAGGTTTAGGTTTATAGTGAGGGTTATGGTTAGATGGAGCAGGTGCGTAGCCAGGGGGCGCTCGCCGCCCCCCCCCCAAAAAAAAAAAGAAAAAAAAAAAAGAAGAGAATCTTCTTCTTTCTCTAATAATTTATGAATCGTCAATGTCAATGAAACTCCCCCTCCCTGCACCCACACCCCCCCCCCCCTCCTGGGAGCGCGCTTCGCATGTTTTGCGTGCTCACTACCACCCCCCTAAAATAAAATCCTGGCTACGCGCTTGAGGGGGAGTCCCGAGAGTGTTGGGTCCAAGGTTGAAGATAAGAATTTGGTTCAGGATATTGATGCAGAGCAATGCCACAAGAGTTATGTGTCGGTCAATCCTGCAAATGCTGGTCCAATGAAAATTTCTCTTGATGCCAAGAATTTGTGAAGTTTTTAAGGTTGACTGAATAAAGTACAACATTAAGTATAATCAGTATATGCAAGCAGTATTCTCAAGAATTCTCAATAAGGTAATTATTTCTTTCTAATTGTAATGCACTTAACACAATACATACTTACTTACAATTAGGTACTGCAGCCTCAGACAATTAGGTGTTCACTTCATAGACATCGAGTGACTAAATGAATTCATGTACATGTACTGTAGTACTATAGTAGGTGTAGCAAGTCTGAGTGACCTTTATACTAGTACAGGATTCTCAATACTGCACTGATTAGAATGCAATGTAAACTTATAAGCCATCATTACATAACAAATCAAACAGCTCCACATCATTACTTCCACGTCTCACATTCTACTATTTCTAGAACTTCAGAAGAGATTTATTTAAGATAGCCGATGACCCTGCAATGCTAGAATCAGTGGCGGATCCAGGGGGGGGGGGGGGGGCCCGGGGGGCCCGGCCCCCCCCCTTGAGAAAAAAATCATGTAAAATCACGTGATTTTTACCTTTTTGAGGGGTTGGGCCCCCCCCCCCCCTGGCGCTCAAGGGGGGGGTGCAAATTGAATTTTTGGTGCGAATTTTTGGCCGGCGCGTTTTTCAAATTTTCGGGAGCAAAAAAAAAAAAAAAAAAAAAAAAAAAAAAAAAAAAAAAATTGTGCTCTGTACCCCCTCCCCCCCCCCCAACTGAGCGACTTTTCGGCCGGCGCGATTTTCAAATTTTCGGGAGCAAAAAAAACAAAAAAACTTGGGCCCCCTCCCCTAAGAAATCCTGGATCCGCGCCTGGCTAGAATATTATGGTTTTGCAGTTGAGCTAGTAGCAATCTTCTCTAGCATCCAAGCTTCCCTTTCCTACATCACTTTTTGGTTGTCAATATTTACCTGAGTCGAAGTGTTGAGAATCTAATTTCATTTTTTCATTTTAATAAAATAGGTTAGCTGTCTCTGTATTTGTAAAAAAATAATTGAAAGGAGCATATTAGTTATTCTGATCACACATTTCATATTCCACTTAGCCTATTTCCACTGTGTTTGTATGGAGCTGCATAATATGACTTGCAAAACGAACAAGGTCGGGAAATTCCTGATTCTACGATTACGTAACAGGCTGGCCACTGTAGGATATACATCTGACTTCACGGCCCAGTCCACCATTCTACCACGGACAACAGCACGCAGATTGACTCAAGCATTAGCCATTCTGTCAGTAAATATCTGTCTTCAAACGTAAACTGCAGTTGTACTTATTGAATAATTACTTGGTTGTTTCTTAATCTATACTGTCGTGATTTATATTTGAACGTAATCCATTCTTCAATTTACTACGTACTGTATAGCAACTGCCGACTTACCTTTTCCTTTTCCTTTCTTTTTCTCGCCTGTAGCTAGCTTTCAGTTTACAGTGAAAGTATATCCATTTTCTTTCTTCCCCCCCCTTTCTCTCTCTCTTTCCCACTGCCGCCCCCTCTCTCCATTTCTATATCCCACGTTATTATCGCTCTTATCGCCCCCTTTTGTATATAGTTTCTTCTCCCCACCCGTTTTTTATTACTCAGTTAAACCATGTTTATAATCTGGTCATAGTTTATAGTTATTTGCTTTAGTACTTTAGCGCCTTTGATGAACATTTCTTGTATTAATCTATATATAACCAGGCTGTTCTTGTTGTTGTTGTCTATATGTTATTGTTTTTGAGGGACCTGACCTCTACAAGCTAAGCTTTAATCTCCTCGTCTTTTCTTCTTTTGTTTTCTCATGTAAATGCATTATATGAACTTGATTCTTATAAGTGTTCCTCTTATATACTTTGCATGTTATACATTTGTTAAATTGTATTACATTCATGTTTGAAGAAAGACAAATAAATTTGAACTTGAATTTGAATTTGTAAATATGTTTAATTGTTCATAATTATTATCACATAATAATTATTATTCATATATCACATGTTTATTTTTGTTCATATTATCACATGTTTGTCAGCTTTCATATTAGGATTATCATTGTTCATATTATCACATGTTTATCATTGTTATACTATTGCTATATTGATACTATATTGTAAATGTGTTTGTACTCTCATACCCTGAGAGGGGGTCGATAGAGTCAAACAAATCTTACAATCTTACAATCACATGCAATCTTACAAAGTCAGAAAAGAGGAACCCAGTTTACAATCCCTTCTTTCTTTTATCCAGTCAAAGTATAAACCAAGGCATGTTATTAGAACAAGTTTAATACACAATATTGTGCAGGTTCCCTCCTTCCAAATATATTGATGTTGCTGGTCATTATATATTTATATTCGGTGCATGAGAAGAGGAGGGGGGGGGTGTATTTTGGCCTCTTTAGTGCCCCGAAAAGGTCTAGCGCCATCTCCAGACAAGATCATGATCTTTTTTGTTGTTGATGGATACAAGGAACGTAGGAATCACAGAAGACTGGTGGCTAGTTCAAGTTCAAAGTTCACGTTCAAATTTGTATTTCATTTTTCAACCAGAAAGATACAAATTGTATACAATAAATCAATTACAAACAACCCTTTACAAAGTATACAAAAGTAGTTATACAAGTGTACATGTTATTGTTCTCTTCATAACAAAAAACATTATTCATATTATTCTTAATCAAGTTACAAGGAATTATAAAATAATAATATCATTCGATCTAAATCAAGAAGAAAAATGTAAATTTTGCTGTATATTTATATTTAAAGTGAAAATGGAGGGATCCACTAAAAAGCATGACTTGTAGAGTGTGGACTTTTAACAAATAGTGTTATAACAAATTAACACACGATTAAAAAAAAAACAAGTGTTGTGTCTACGGAGACTTCTAAAGAGAACAGGTATCAGCATATAAGACGCAGTATAGAAGCACAAGGGTAGGATTATGAACAATATGGACAAGATTATACAAAAGAAAAGGGATGAAGTGTATATAACAAATGTAGGAAGTATGTAGGAATTAAGAGCATGATGATAGAAACTGAGCGCGCAATTTTCACCAGCACCAATGGGGATTAATCTTGCGATGGCCTTTTTGTTTCAGTATAAAACATTTAATGAACTATAAAGCAGTTTGTGAGTTAACTTCTGGTAAAGGAAATCAACGACATTTTCATTAACATGATTCATATCTACAGAAGTAGCAGTAGTATAGTAGTAGTAGTAGTAGTAGTAGTAGTAGAAGTAGTAGTATTAGTAGTATTAGTAGGAGTAGTAGTAGTAGGAGTAGTAGTAGTAGTAGTAGTAGTAGTAGTAGTAGTAGTAGTAGTAGATGAAGAACATGAGAAGAAGAAGAAGATAAAGCAGAAAAAGAAGAAGAAGAAGAAGAAGAAACAGAAGGAAAGTAGAAGAGGGAAAAGAAGAAGAGGAAGAAAAAAGGGAAAAATAAGAAGAGGACAAAAGAGGAGAAAGAGGAGGACCGGATATATAGATAAACTTTGTCCCGCAAACTCCTTCATAGTTCAGAATTCTTTAGGTTCCAGGAGAGGACTACGCACATATTGTTTGTCCATTTTCTTGCCGGACACCTCTAAATTCACTCAAGAGCAAGAGAGAAAGAGAGAGAGAGAGCGCGCGCGAGAGAGAGAGAGAGAGAGAGAGAGAGAGAGAGAGAGAGAGGAGAGAAAAAGATATCAACATGCCAGAAAGCTGTATGGCTTCGAAAGTCGGCAAACCTTTTTACCCCGCTCCGAGGAAATATAGACTGTCACTGTAAACAAATCTGTAAAAGAGCGCCATCTATACAAGCGACGTTTCTCCGTCAAGATGATGACAATGGATGATTGTTGTTGTTGTTGTTGTTCTTCTTCTTCTTTGAGTTACATTCTACTATATTTTTTTTTTACATACCAAACAATTACTCTTTTTTTAAAATGCAGGCAATTTAATACTTTTTTTAAAAGCATAATATTACAATACATACGCTCAAAATCTGGAATGGGAGGTGTTAGAAAAAATTTGCCATTTTTTTCCAAGAAGCAGAAACTTAATAAATAAATTATCAAACGATACATTTCCGAATTTCATTTTCAAATACAGGTGTGCTACAGGCCCTCTTCGTCGTCTTAAGCGACATTGTACACAGCGACGTGAGGATCATTTATGAATGTATACACCAGGCGCGTACTTCAGTTTTTTAATATGTGTATTTTGGAGCACCCCCCCCCCCATTATGCCAATGGCTGACCAAAAAAGGTGACCTTACCCCCCCCCCCCCCCAACGGAGCAAAATGTCAAATTTTAAAATTTCGAGAAAAAAAAGTGTCCTCTTACCTCCCCCCCCCCCCCCCGCTTATTCAGCTGATTCGTCGCGAAATTTTCGGCCCGATTTAAAAATGTTACCCCCCCCCCTTGAAAAAATCCCGCGTACGCTACTGGTATACACCCCTCACCACGCATCCTTTACATCTTCCCCCTCTTCACGACGGCCCATCTTAATCTTGAGTCAAGCAACGTAGAAACATGAGGACGTATCACCGATAAGCTTAGGACTCGTTGGGGGGGGGGGGGGGGGGGGTATACGCTCGTTGTAACAGGGGTGTGACACTGCATCCCTCGACACAATACCCCTCGCGCCCAGCAACCCTCGCCCCTTTTCCTTCTCACGACGGCTAGTGGTGTAATGAGCACAAATTGTTTATGGGGGGCAGAGAGAAAGAAACGAGTATAATTTACAACAAATTAAGAAAAAAAATCCCCGAAAAATCATGTCATTTCAGCAGGGGCGTAAATCCCGGGGGATGGGGGGCTGCATCCCCCTGGTTTGAAGTAGGGGGGATGGCCTGTACAATCATCTCCCCCTGATATTACCAACAAACAAAAAAAGAGAGGAAAAAAAAGGAAGAAGAAGAAGTAGAAAAAATGTGATTGTTTCAATTGCAGCATAATACATGAGAAATAAGTTATTTTGTTTATGTATAGCCTACACGTATACAGTATGTCACGATAAGGAAACGTCAAGGCTTCCGCGCTTCGCGCGAGAGGGGGAAAATGAGTTCAGATAAATAGGGCTTATTAAGAGTCGAAAACGGTGCAACGAATCGTCTTCTTTCTATAATAATTAAATCAAACGTCTAAGCTTTTCGCGTTTCGCGCGGAAAGGGGAAACTGAATTCAGACGAGAATTAAGAGTCGAAAACAGTATACTCAATCGTCTGCTTTCTCTAATAGTTTAAGGAAACGTCAAGGCTTCCGCG